CGAAAAACCCCCTTCGAGAGCCTAGGTTCCAATCTTGTTGCTCTGTGTTCCAACATCTATGGATGGTATCCTCCTTTCTCACAGAAAGTAAGTAAAAGTCAGGAAAGGCCATCTCCAACGATTGATCTCCAACCCAATGATTCTTCCAGAACCTGATTTTCCTCCCATTATTTGCCTTGGAGGACAGGAACTTAAGGAAAAGGTTTGTGTTGTTTGCAATCGCAAACCATGACTGCCCTTTTGCTGCACCTTTTGGAGTGGCAGTAAGCCATCCATGAGGAAGGGTGCCGTAAATACTTTCCACCACACGCCTCCATAGAGTATCTTCTTCTTGAGTAAACCTCCGCAACCATTTAAGTAAAAGAGCGTGGTTTCTCTGCTGAAACGAGCCTATTCCAAGACCACCGTGAGAAAGAGGGAGAGAGGTCCATTCCAATTTCACCAGATGGCTGCAAGGGTGGTAGGTACCTCCATCCCAAAAGAAGTCCCTAACATACTTCTCCATGGTCTTAATCACCGTTTTGGGAGCCTTCAGCAAAGATAATAAAGGGGTAAGCTGCTAAGGACCGATTGGGCCAAGGTTAGGCGTCCACCTTTAGAAAGGGTGAGGTTTTTCCATTTAGAGAGCTTGCATCTAAACTTCTCCAACATTGGTTCCCAAAAGCCAATGGAGTTTGCATTACCTCCTAGAGGGAAGCCCAAATAGTTGAAAGGAAAGCTTTCAATTTTACACCCAATGGTGCTTGCAGCTAAGAAAAGAACATCCTCCTCGACGTTTATCCCTATCAGAGAAGTTTTCTCTACATTTATGGACATGCCTGCAACATAGACAAAGAGGGATATAATCCCCCACCAATCCAAAAGATCTTCAACCCTTTCCCTGCTGAAAATAATAGTATCATACGCATATTGGAGATGTGTGAAGGGGACTTGTTTAGACCCCACCAGAAAACCCTTCAGAATCCTTCTCTCATGACAAAAGTGCACAAGACAACTCTAAAAGCGTCTCCAATTAAGGTGAAGAGGAAAGGAGACGAAGGACAGCCTGGCAAAGATTTTACCTCTAGGCCTCCAATTTATCAGAACAGAGAAATTCGCAGAACCAATACACCCTTCGATCCACTTGCACCATCTCGTACCGAAGCCTTTTCTCTTAAGAACAGTCGTCAGAAAATTCCAGTCCACCATATCGTATGCCTTTTCATAATCAAGCTTGAGGATGAAGCCACTTTTCTTGGAAGCTCGCCACTCACCTACCCCTTCGGAGGCAACCAGAATCGCATCTAGGGTATTCTTGCCCTCAACAAACGCTGCCTGGGTGTCGTTAATAATAGAGGGGAGGTAATTTTTTAGTCTTTCGGCCATAACCTTTGCTATAATTTTATCGAGAGAAGTGACCAAGCTAATGGGGTGGAAATCCCTAACTTTGTTAGCTCTTTTCTTCTTGGGGATAAGACATATATAAGTTTCGTTTGTTCGCCTATTGATGATCCCATTTTGGAAAAGAGTCTTAGAACACTCTAAGTAAGTCGGGCTTCAAAATGTTCCAAGACTTTGTAAAAAACTCATTTGTCATCCCATCAGGACCCGGGGATTTGAGGGTGCCAAGTTTCCTGATAGCATCATGCACTTCCTCTTCACTAAAGGGAGCCTCCAAGTCAAGACTGTCCTGAGGACTAAGAGGGTTCCATTCCATACCATCGAAACAAGGCCGAGGGCCGACTTTAGCCTTATACAAGGAATAAAAAAACTGACAATTTCCTACTCAGATCTCTGTCTCTGAAGTGAGAGGGTTGCCTGTGCTTAGTGTGCTATCTTCCAAGATCGAAATTATGTTTCTACATTTCCTTTGAGAGGCCCACCTATGAAAAAAGTTGGTATTTTCATCCTCCTTCTATTAACCATTGCAGTTTACATTTTTGTGCCCATCTTTGCTGATCTTTAATGATAACTTCCTGCAGGGAGGCTTTAAGATTAGTTCTCTCAGAAAAGGATACAGGGGACGGGGATCCTCTTTCTTCTTCTTGGTCAAGGAGGTTTATTCTGGCTTGCAGATCTGTTTTCTCATGGTCAATAGCTCCAAAGGTATCCTTATTCCAGGCCTTTAAAATTGTCTTGAGACCTCGAAGCTTCTCCATGAAAGCATATCCTACCCACCCCGAAGGGTTCAGATTCTTCCACCACAATTCTAACGAGGCTTTGAATCGTGGATGAGAGAGCCACATATTCTCAAAACGAAACGGAGTGGAGCCCCACTTCTGGAAACCCGAGCTAAGTTGAAGAGGGAAGTGGTCTGAAGTTGTACGGGTCAATCTTTGAAGCACCACATCCTTGAAAACATCTAACCAGTCCTGGTAAACCAAGAATCTGTCAATACGGGAGGCAGAGAGGTGTTCCCTAAAAGCTGACCACGTGAAGGTAGCATTGTTGATATGGATATCAAACATCCCCAGCTCTACAATTAACGAATTGAAATCTTTCATACTCTTAGTCACCCTATGCCCCCTGGATTTTTCATTCGGATTCTGCACTACATTGAAGTCACCTCCTAAGCACCAGCATCCTGAGCAGAGGCCTGAGAGATCCATAAGTTCTTGCCAAAAGAGATTCCTACCCTAAGGGGTGGACAACCCATATACTCCCGTAATCCAACCTTGCGCAAGATTGTTAAAGGAGAAGAGAATAGAGACAGAAAAAGAGCCTAGAACAGAGTCAAGTACCTCGACCACATCTTCTTTCCACATAATGAGAATTACCCCCGCGAAACCTTCGGCATCTAGGGCAATCCAACCCGTTCTTCTAGAGCTCAAACTTCCTTAATAACTTTCCTACCGATCGACGAAAGTTTGGTTTCTTGCAAAATCATTAAATCAAGACCCGCTCTGATGAGAGAGTCTTTAACAAGAGTTTTTTTGGAGGATGCTCCTAAACCTCTCACATTCCACCAATCTTCATGTGTCCACATTAGTGCCCGGAGCGATCTGCACTAAGTCTTCTACATCTTCATCTTGATCCTCTGTTTCTAAAGCCTCCTCTTCCTCTTGGTCCCCTGCCTCTGATTCGTTTTCCCAAGATTTGAGGAGGTTTATAATCTCCCTTCTTTTTTTCTTCTTTGCCGATTGACCTGTTAGGTTTTTCGTGGAAATAGGGCGAATACACATGTGCCATTTCTTGAGCTCTTTTACCATCTTCCTTGAGAAAGGTGGGGTGAGAAACCAGGGGAAGGGCTCTCTTTTCTGACCACCATCTGACTTTTTGACTTTGTTGCCTCAAGGCAAGCCGTCTCTGGGACTATCTCTTCTAGGTCTTGCTCTTCTTCTCTAAAGCATAGGGAAAAGTCCTCAGGGAGGTCCTCCTCTGGGTTTTTTTCGATCTCTGCCTTGGATAGGGGCTATCTAAGCTAGAAAAGGAGAAAACCGACCCCTCTTCATAATCTTTGTCCAGTGCTAGCTTCTATTTTTGTTTTCGAGGAGAGCTAACAGAAGGACTAGCAAAGGTGGAATACACCTTCCCTTTCTTGTCAAAGTGTCTTATCTGATTATCCTTCTTAAAGGAGACCCCTTTTCTTTCTTCTTTATTGTCTTTTTTGTCAACTTTGTCTACTTTCTTTTTATTTCTATGAGACCCAAGGGTGGGCCCCTCTTCCGTTAAGGTTGGAGTCACGTGGCTCGAGGGCTGGCAGTTTCTTTCACTGAAAGAGGTGTTTCACTGAAAGGCGGGTTGAGGTCGTCGGAGTCATGGGTAGGGGGGGGATGGAGGTAGGGAGAGGGAGCTGTGAGGGCGGGAGAGAGTCATTCTATTTGCTTTCATTCCTCTCGTGACATAGTTCAGTTTGACCAAGATGCGAATGCCCATGGTCTGCTCAGTATAGTGATGGATTTCATGGCCGATGTGTAACTGGCACGAATATAACGACATGAAACGAGTTCCCCACAAAGCATTTTTCTTTTGTCCTCGAACATTCAAATGTTCTGTTCGATTTTGATGCTTGGGTTCTCATGTTCTAAACCCTTGCGATTGATTGGGAAAAAGATCGAAAATGAGAAAGATGGATTGTTATCCATTGAAAATCCATAGGAATTCCTCGGGGATTGCCTGCGTTCTAATAGATATTCTGTCTGTAGTTGACAGCGAACAAGTTGGTAGAGAAGGTGTTCGACTCTGGTGCAAGGTGCAAATAACAGAGCAAAACGCAAAGAACAAAGCAAGGTAACGAACAAAAACACCCCTCCACTTGGCGGCATGAAGACTGGACGATAGCAGCACGACATAATATCTATAGTTCACGAAGAACAGAGATAGCAACGAACAAAACCCCGGCAACGCGAAGACTCAATGACAAACGTGAAGATACAGTCCGCGACTGATGGCGAGGGCGATGATGACTAGAGTTAGGGTTAAGGTTTAATACCAAGTCAATTTTAAGAGAAATAGAATTATTTTATTTCTCTTATTCAATGGTAAAACCCTAGGTCATCTTAAGTAGAGGTGAGACACGTTACTAAATAAGAAAACTAGGACAATAATCTACTGATTACAAATAATATAAAAGAAGAAGCAACTAATAAATATTTACAATAGTTATTTACTAAGAATACGTAAAATCACCTTCGATAACTATCTTCTTTTGTGATTTACACTAATTGGGACGATCTATTGGAACTTTCTTTTGAAAGAGACCAATTTTTAGAAGAAATAGAATTATTTCTCTTATTCAATGGTAAAACTCCAGGTCACCTTAAATAGAGGTGAGACATTGAGACACCGAGACACGGTACTAGAAAAAGGAATCTTAGACCATAATCTACTGATTAAAAATAATATAAAAGACGAAGTAATTAATAAATATTTACAACAGCCCAAAAGGGCAGTCTAGTTAGCAAAGGCTTGGGGTCTTTTGGTCATACTGACTTAGAGATCTCAAGTTCGAATCTTCTGGTGAGCTTAATACCAAAACCCCTTGATGTCTCTCGAGTCTGGGCCTTGGACGGACGCGGGTGCTCCTAGGTATAGGGGAGCAGAAGCTCCGACTTCTGATTCTCAAAAAGTAATTATTTACTAAACATACATTTTTTTTTGAACGAAAAACAAACTTCTCATTGAATTAATGAAAAAGAGTATAAATATTCAATGGTACAAACTCTTGAGAGAGTGAAGGAAAACAAAAAGCAAATAAACAACAAAGATTAAGAGTAAAAACAAAAAGCCCCCCAATTAGAACAAATAAGGGAAGAAGAATAATTCTCAAAGATAGATGACACAGAGCACCACTGTGAAGCTTTAAACTTAGCTAGGCTAAACCGATCAAACGGAGGTTTGCGCTGATCCTCGAAGGTCCAGAGATTTCTTTCAAACCAAAGCTCATAAAGCAAAGTTTTAATTTCATTTATCCATAAAAGACGACCTTGAGGAGATAAACCCACCCTTAGGAGTAATTGATGAACATTGTCCACAGCTACACCGCTGAAAACCCACGATAAGTTGAATTCATTGAACAACAAAAACCAGTGTTGGGTGTGAAG